AAACATTTCTAAAATTCTGTTTTCACTTTGTCATTATGGGGTACTGAGTGTAGATTAATGATAAAAAAAATGAATCTGAACGATTGTAGTATCAGGCTGCAACATAACAAAACTGAAAAAAGCGAAGGGGGTCTGAATACTTTCTGTAGACTCCACCAAAGAGCTGCTGCCTGCGTCACTGTTTCTTTTTCTGCATTTGCGTAAAGAGCCAGAAGTGAGGCTGAAAAGGGGCAGCAGAAGCGTCCTGTGCGTGCAAACGCTGCCCTTGTGCTGCTGTCTTTTATTGCAGACCCAGCTGTTGCCACCCTCTATGCATCGTCCACCCTTTTTGGTGCCTGTAAAGCTGCTGTCCACAGGAGGAACCGGGCGCTCTGCAGCTGCCCTGGAGCCGAAAGAGGGCTGGTGGCAGGGCCCCCTTCATACCCAGAGCACTTGAGTGGGGCCCCCGGCAGAAATGGCATAACATTAGCTCTCGCTTCATTCATGCTGGAAGAGCTAATGCGAGCAGTTCTTTTCATAACACATTTTATAGAGTCATTTTTCTTAAAAAAAAACCCTTGTTTGCTCAGCACTTAATGGACATTCAGGCACACATACTAACCATCCTTGGGGCAAGAAAGAAATGGATTTTGAAAGGCTGGCTAAATTGAGGCCAGCTGACGGTGCTAGCAATAAATGGGACTAAAAGGCCACCTTTTTTCCAATGATTATTCTGCCCGTGTAAATGAAGCAAATGCCGACCCTTGTGCTCCACAACAACGTGGGTACTAAATTCATTTTGCCTGCCTGCCATTAAAAATAACACTGGAAAAATCCATCTTCTTGCCAAAAGCATTTTGTGTGTGTGTGTGAAAGAGGTTTCTGTTTTTCTACTTCATTCTCAGGGCATGTTCAACCTTCTTGTGGTGTTCTCTGGTACTTTCTCAGCTGCCCCATAACAAGGCCCACGGAAGGCCTTTGATTCAAATTCATTGGGATTTAGCTGAAATATAGATGGCCAGCAAGGAAGCAGCAAGCTGGATAGATAATGTATACTCTGAAAAACACTGAAAAATATTTCAGGCAATTTATTTTACATTGGATTGGATGAAAACAGTTTTAAAATGCAAAGGAGGAGGAGGAGGAAGAAAAAGAAAAATAGCACAACCAGAAAAACACAAAGTAACATTGCAAAGAATTCTTGTTATTTAGAGATAATTTAAGAGAAAATCTAAATTTACACTAATGTTCTAGAGAGTGTTTTTTAAAAAATAATATCTCTATTTTGGAAAATGTATTTCCTTAGAAAAGAAAAAAAGAGAAAAAAAGAAAAAAAAAAGAAAAATCAATATCCTCTTCTCCTCCATAACTTATATAGTCTTGTGTATTTTTTTTTTTTTAAATGCGTTTTGCACTGCAGGCAATTGCAATTACGGTAATTGATGAGAGTTGCTGCTTCCCTTCCTTCCCCCATGGAGAGCAATATTCACACACAGCACTTTCCTTAGTCCAGTGTTGTCCAAACTTGGCTACTTTAAAATGAGTGGACTTCAACTCCCAGAATTCGCC